TGTCACAATACGGATGCATCCATTTACTGGAGTGACACATTTGAGAACATGGTCCATACACAGTAGATTCTAGTTATACAGTTTCAATGTATTGTTCATGCATGGACATTACTATTAATGTTGTTATTATTTACAGTGACAAGTGACCAGCCTAAGTACTGTGGTACACTTTTATATTCTAGAAACACTTTACATTTGGTTTATAGTTTTAATGTAAAATCCGTTCTCTGGGCAAAAGTCCACAATTCAGCTTTAATGTGTATAAAGTCCACCAATTTCTGATAATACATTTTGTGAGTGTTTCCTTGTATCACTTCAGAACTCTGGTGGTGAGATTTGGAATCCTTTTCTTATATCCCCTGCTCCTAAAGAGGACACTTTTCCTAATCAAATACACCAATTTAGAATTTAGCCGAAACTAGGTAACATGCATACACCACGAATGCCAAAAAATTACATTATACCTCTCTGTTACACCAATGTCTAAGCTAAATAGTACAGTATAAAATACACATTTCTATATTGTCATTGGATTTTACAAAATAAATAATCAGTAAACATATGCCAATTTGCTGATGTCACGGAGTTGAATTCACAATTACAAAAGCAGCATTAATGTAGTTAGCACTGCATGTTGAAAATTGTTTCACAATTTTTCTACTGTGCAGGGGCCCCCATACTGTGACACACAAAAGCATATTATTTACATAAATGTAATATTCCAGTTAACATTTTTTTCCATTTCACACCATGTCCCACCCTGACTGGCCTTATGCATGGCATACACAGCTAAAGTCAGATAGATATCTCAGTCATGCCCTCAGATAAAAGCCATATTCTCCATCAGGAAATGCGTTCAACAAATAGGGAAATGACTATTCCATGATGCGTGAACAACAGTTTTATAAACATTAGTCACAATTTAGGATTCCATTGATTCAAAATACTGATGGTCACATCTTTTTAATCTGAAGAGCAATTATTTTCCATATCTAAATCCTTTTATACTGTACATATTTTTTGTACACAAACATTCATTTAATGAAATACATGCTTAGTAGATGCTTAAAGAAATATTAGATGCTTAGTAAACCAGAGCAGCCAATCAAATCACTTTTTTTCTAACAAAACTGTTAAAGTATAACTACTGTTTGCTGCAGGTTGTAGCAAATCTCTGACCTGCATTGCATCCTAATAGGTAAGACTGAACATATGTCCTGCTTTTTAGTTTGTAAACATGGTGAATTGTGAACTATATTTTATATTGCCTTTGTATGCCAATTAGAGTAGCTAAAGTGGTATAAGTGCACATTGTGTCACACTGAGCAACTCAAAGATTCAAGATCTAAGACACTTTGTTTTGCAAATGTCTGCTTTAAACCTTGTACATACGATCAGAAAATCATATGAAAAATACAGCTTTCGAATCGATAATACGATAATATGATCTCTAGTACACAGCGTTTGACAGCCGATCTTGACAGTTCATCCAGAATTATCAGAAGGGACCAACACGAAAATGTTTCTTGTATGATGCTAGATTGTACAATTTTCGTTTTATCAGTACAATGTTCATACGAAAATACAATACAAATACAATACAATACATCACTTCTGAAATTCTATTCTGTTGTACAAGAACTTTCATAAGTTGGGTAACCTCTTCATTTTCGATATAAGACTAGGATGCAAAAAAAAAAACACGATCATTTGTCCAATATTCTCATTGTGTGTTCAAGGCTTTAGACAAGTCCCTCCCTTCTCCTGCAACTCATATTTGGTCCATCACTGTAATAGGTTAAGAAATGTGCACAGAGCTGCTATGGATACATTGTCCTGAAATATTGATTTTGATAATGGAGGTGCCCTAGTTTTTGAGCACTGACAAGACACTTGATGATACTTACATGTTGACAACCAACATGTCTGCATTTCATTCTTATTTCCAGTTTAGGTACTTTATCACTTAGAGTGATACTAAAGTATTTTCTTTTCTTAAATATAACAAGCATGTCATACTGCTCTGGGCAGTGTTTTTCCACAGAGCAGCTCGGATCCTCATCTTTTTGGGTTCCCTGCTGGTGCTCTTGGCCCCTCTCTCTTGTCGGGGTGCCCCCATAGCAAAGAACTTGCTATGGGGCACCCAAGCAGGTGTGCTCCCAAGCCACGGCTCTGTGTGTCCATTCACATACAGAGCTGCAGCTCAGCCTAGTCCCCTCCCTCTCCTGATTGACTCACTGGCTGTGATTGACAGCAGTGGGAGTCAATGGCTCCCGCTGCTGCCTCAGTCAATCAGGAGTGAGAGTCCCCAGAGAACAGAGGCTCTCGTGAACATTGCTACATTGACAGAATGCATGAAGATGAAAAACCTTGAGACTTTAGAACCACTTTAGGACCAGCCTTTTTCTGGCACTTTTTGTTCACATGTAACAATCATTAGTTTTTGCTCGAAAATTACTTAGAACCCCCAAACATTATATATTTTTTTAAAGCAGAAGCCCTAGAGAATAAATTGTTAGGTTTTGCAATTTTTTATGTCACATAGTACTTGCACAGTAGTGTTTCAAACACAAATAGGCTTTTTTTTATTTTAATGCAAATAAACACAATAAATAACCTAATTTTTTTTAAATATAAAAGATGATGTTACACCAAATAAACAAATACCAAACATGTCATGTTTTAAAATTGCGCACACCCATGCAATGGCGGCACAATTGTACTATCCATAGGTGATGCTTTAAAAACCTTTGCAAGTTACCACTTTAGATTTACAGAGGAGGTCTGATGCTAGAATTACTGTCCATGATCTGACATTTGTGGTGATACCTCACATGTGTTGGACGATCATTGTTTGAGTGCGTGCAGGACCAACACGTGCTTCAGCTTTGCATGTGAGCACGGGGGCACTTAATTTTTTTTAAATTATCAATTTATTAATTTTTTTATTTTTGCACTGTTTTTACATTTTTTTTTATCGCTTTTATTGCTGTCACAAGGAATGTAAACATCCTTGTGACAGCCATATGCATGTGACAGGTACTCTTTATGGAAGGCTCAGGGGGTCTATAAGACTCTAAATCTCTCCTCTGTGCTTAAAAACATTCAAAACACCAAGATCCGTGTTTTCAAATGCTTTTGAGTTTTTAAAAATGGTGTTGTTTACATCCGGGTAACCCAGAAGTGATGTCAGGTCATCACTTCTGGGTTACCATAGCGGAGAGCCAATCAAAGCCGATCCCAGCTTTGTTTGGCTGTCCAAGCAGCCAGTGGAAGAGTGGTGGGGGGGGTGGAAGGGGGGCATCCCCTCCCGCTGCTTGTAATAGCAATCAAGCTAGTTAGCCAGTCTGGTTGCTATTACAAGAGAACCAACCGCTGGCTCTGAAAAAAATGGTAGCGGGATGTTGCCTGCAGATGTTATATTACATCTTTAGGGATGAAAAATGTTTCTTTCTCTAAAAATCTAGAAAAATCATCTCATGAAATAAATATATAGGCTAAAAATGGAATTTGTTCTAACCAATTTTTCTTTTTAACCACTTCCAGACCAGACTGCCCACACCATTTTTTATATTTGAGCATTGTCATACTGACAATTACTCTGTACCTGAATGAATGTTTTATATATATATATATATATATATATATATATATATATATATATATATATATAAAAATAAATGTATACAGTCTACAAACAAACGTATATATCAAAAAATAACAAACAAAAAATTCTCACCTCCCAGGGCACCCTTCCATGTGCTCCTTGCTACAAAGGCCAGTTACCATTTATAGGTTGTTGTGAGGTTAGTGAATTAATTGGTGAGGGGACGCACTGGATACCTTTGCTGCCATTGTACTATTACTGGGTGTCAAGTTCATCCCTATACACATAAGGAGGGGTGGGCTCCCTTCAGGCATACCTGCAAAATAAACCTCTTGCTTTTAACATGAACTGTTAGACAGGGTTAGTGCGGCTTGATGCAGGCTGGCTGGTAAGTGAGCTGGGAATTTTTATTTGTTGTTTTTTTACATGCATAGTCCTTCCACGTGCTCCATACTGCAAAGGCCAGTTATAGGCTGGGGTGGTTACCATTTGTTTGTACTGTTGGTGAATTGGTGAGGGGATGCATTGGATACCTTTTCCGCCATTGTGTATTGCTTGAGGGGTGGGCTCCCTCCAGGCATACCAGCCCTTCATCTATGCATTATTATATATGTGCTCCAACCGAGGAAACTCTCAAAATAATAGAGTTAGGACTGCAGTACACTGGGGTTCCGTGATGTGGCTGCTGCAGCTTATGCATATGTTTGCAAATGTGTGCCAATTAAAACTGTTGGTTTTGATGTGAACTATTAGACAGGGTTAGTATGTTGCAGGCTGGCTAATAAGTGAGCTGGGAATTTTTGTTTGTTGTTTTTTTACATGCCTAGCCCTTCCATGTGTTCTTTGCTGCAAGGACAGTTATACGTTGGAGTGGTTGCCATTTGTTTGTATTGTATATATATATTTGAAAATTGATCAATCCCGATGTACTGACTTTCATTTCTTGAGGCCCAAAAATGCCAGCACAAATACCCCCAAATGATACAGTCCAAAGTATTTAAAAAGAAGCATGGTGTAATTCTTGTCACAGGTCATCTCCTGTACTGTGTCCGCAATCACTGGTCATCTCCTGTACTGTGTCCGCAGTCTCTGGTCATCTCCTGTACTGTCTTCAGTCTCTGGTCATCTCCTGTACTGTCTGCAGTCTCTGGTCATCTCCTGTACTGTGTCAGCAGTCTCTGGTCATCTCCTGTACTCTCTGCAGTCTGTGGTCATCTCCTGTACTGTGTCTGCAGTCTCTGGTCATCTCCTGTACTGTGTCTGCAGTCTCTGGTCATCTCCTGTACTGTGTGTGCAGTCTCTGGTCATCTCCTGTACTGTGTGTGCAGTCTCTGGTCATCTCCTGTACTGTGTGTGCAGTCTCTTGTCATCTCCTGTACTGAGTACAGGAGATAACCAGAGACTGCACACACAGTAAAGGAGATGACCAGAGACTGCAGACACAGTACAGGAGATGACCAGAGACTGCTGACACAGTACAGGAGATGACCAGGGACTGCAGACAATGTCTGCAGTCTCTGGTCATCGCCTGTACTGTGTCCGCAATCTCTGGTCATCTCCTGTACTGTGTCCGAAGTCTCTGGTCATCCCCTGTACTGTGTCTGCAGTCTCTGGTCATCTCCTGTACTGTGTCAGCAGTCTCTGGTCATCTCCTGTACTCTCTGCAGTCTATGGTCATCTCCTGTACTGTGTCCGCAGTTTCTGGTCATCTCCTGTACTATGTCCACAGTCTCTGGTCATCTCCTGTAGTATGTCCGCAGTCTCTGGTCATCTCCTGTACTATGTCCACAATCTCTGGTCATCTCCTGTAGTATGTCCGCAGTCTCTGGTCATCTCCTGTACTATGTCCGCAATCTGGTCATCTCCTGTACTGTGTCCGCAGTCTCTGGTAATCTCCTGTACTGTGTCAGCAGTCTCTGGTCATCTCCTGTACTCTCTGCAGTCTATGGTCATCTCTTGTACTGTGTCCGCAGTCTCTGGTCATCTCCTGTACTATGTCCGCAGTCTCTGGTCATCTCCTGTAGTATGTCCGCAGTCTCTGGTCATCTCCTGTACTATGTCCGCAATCTGGTCATCTCCTGTACTGTGTCCGCAGTCTCTGGTCATTTCCTGTACTGTCTGCCGTTCATTGGCTCAGAATATTTTTTTTCTTGTTTTCCTCCTCTAAAACCTAGGTGCGTCTTATGGTCAGGTGCATCTTATGGAGCGAAAAATACGATACTCGTCTAATTTCCTGACCACCTATTATAATTCTTGAGTACCTGAAGTGCCAGGACAGGAGAAACACCCACACAATGATCTCATTTTGAAAAGCATAGTGAGTCTTTTGAAAATGTCACGTATTTGGACAGGAAAGAAATTGAAAATGTATTTTTTACACAATGTTGTAAATTAGTAAGATATTTTCAAAACACATCATTAACTTAAAATTATATCTCAAAACACATTCTGCTATTCCTTCCAAGTATGGCGATACCATATGCGTGAGGCTTTTTCACTGTCTAACCACACAGAGAAGCCCAAAATCCAAGGAGCACCTTCAAGCGTTCCAGAGACATAAATTACATATCTAATCTCCTGACTACCTATCACATTTTTGAAGACTATGGAAAACCAGGACAGTGGAAACACTGTCAAAATGACCACATATTGGAAAATAAACACCCCAAGGTATTTTCTAAGGCTGGCCATACATTATACAATTTTCTGGAGATTTTTAGTTTAGATTTACCAAAAACCATATAATAGGAGGTCAAACCTAACTAACACTTTCAATTGTATCCAACTAGGCAGGCCCTTGTTCTACATAGTTGAAGGTAAATATAAAGGAAATTGGGCAGAAATTGGACAGAAAATTGTATAGTGTATGGCCAGCCTAAGAGGCATGGTGAGTCTTTTGAAGACTTAATTTTTTGCCACATTTTTGGAAAATGCAGAATTAAAATGTATTTTTTTTTACACAAAGTTGTCAATTAATAGGATATTTCTGACAAATATTGAGTTACATCACTAATAACCTTAGACCATTCAGAGTATGAATCATTAATCATGGTCTATTAGTGGGTTTTCTATCTATTTACAAACTATATATTCTAAGCCTGTAAAATTTAACTTACACATTAGCTGTGTGTAGGGAACTGTGTCAAATGCTTTTGAAAAATCCAAGCATATTGTATCCACAGTCACTCCTTTGTCTACTTTTATTGCTTATCTCCTCTTGAAAAGAAACTGGATTTGAAAACTTCAGTCTTTTGTGAATCCATGCTGCCCTATGATTAAAATGCTGTTAAATTGGATACACATATCAGACACAGAAATATATATTATTAGTGAGCAGAGAAGCTAAACCTACTCATAACATTTTGTACTGAGGCATTAAATTAAACAAAGTCAACATTTTGAAAAACTAAAAGCTATCCCGCTGTTGCTCATTCCCATTCTGCTGCTGTAAATGCTATGAAGGAGCAAATATGATTAATTACAGCCATATTAACTATGTAATATTAATGTGAAATGGACTAGGAATTTGAGGAAGGTCTGGTTCAATTAGTTACATGGTTGCTTGTAAACCCAAACAATGAATCTTATTACTTGCTATGCAAAAAGCAAGTCTTTCCCTGCAGGATATCAAGTGTTTGAGTGCTGCCAGATTTACCATTGCCTTTGCTGATTCGATTAGGAACCGGGTAATGGCAACAGGCACTGCCTGGCAATGATGACATGCATTAGCAGTGGGGTGTTTTCAACTGAAGCAGCCAGCTGAGAGATGTATTAGCTGGAATAGATATTGCACTGTGTAATTGTTTATAAGGGGAAGTTTATAATAAAGAAGCAATAAAAGTTGAAATGTCTCTACCACTCATTGCAAAGAATAATTACAGTTTATAAACACATGTCCAAGCAGAGTGTTTGCCTCAGGTACAATAAGGAAAAATGTATTAAATGTAGATTTTCTTCCTGCTTTTTTAATTTAATGTAAAGGACTTTGGCCTTTGAATGAGTAAATTAAAACTGATAGTGATTGTCTGTTTTGCTTCACTAGCTGTTAATATTTTGGTGTAGGAATACTACCTGTACTGACCCATAATCATAGTAGGAAATGGTCTTCCTGGAGTAAATTGAATGCTGTAATGGACCCTTTCCTGACAAACGTCTTACATTAGATCTGTCATCAATAAGTGAAACTTTGTTCTTCGGGAACCCAGTTCTCAGTGTACTCTCTTCTCCAGCCTTTTGCTGGAAAAACATTGTTCACACCACATACACCCAGTATTAAAACAGCTGTCGCTGATTTGAAACCTTAGACCTCTTTTTAACTTTTTTATATCTATAATATTCTTAGGCTTGGTTTGATCAGACCTCTGGATTTTTTGTTTTACAGATAAAGACTGTATATATTTTTACATACTGAACTTTCCCTATGCATTGTTTAGCACACTGATCTAGTATGGGTTTCACGGCTTCATTCCCAATTCAATTTTTAATGCCACAATATAAGTAACATTAGGTAAGCCATGGCTTCTGATTTGCTAATTAAGTGTTCTCGCATGGCAAGACCACTTACTGTTATCTCACATATACATTCTTATTATTATAGCCAAATTTACCACCCTAACTCCTCCCACAGTTTTTACACTACATAGACAGTAATATACCGAAACGTGTGGATTGTTCCCGATTGGTGTGCTATTACTTTGTGGAACCCGTTTCGCCGAATGATTCACGAAATATCGGCGTTTTTGTGGTGAAATTGGTCCCATAAGAATGAATGGTGGAATGTTCAAAACTAGAGTGGGAGCTGAGAAAAGCTAAAGTGTGAGCTGAAAAATCAGGACATGATTTCTAAACTGCCATCACTCCCTCATTTTCAAGCCCACCTACACAAATCATATATCAGAACGTTCGGCTATCCCTGCTGCCACTAAAAATGTCCACGGCTAAGCCATAGTCCTGATAGTTCTCACAATATGACCATTTGTTTGCAACTCTTGCTGCCCATTGACAATCATTGAAACTCTACTCTAGCCACCTCAAATTTGAAGGGCAATATCTAAAATGCAACTGTGCCTTCATGTTTAATATTTCAGAGACATACTATGCATCAAAATGTAGATCTGGCTCTTTTGATTCTCACAATATAAAGTTCTTCAGTGTAGGATTTATACTTTTTAAAATACAACCATTTGAAGATGGCAACCGCCAGTAAAATAAAGTGAGCAAGTTGGAGCAGTTTGTTTTTAACCGCTCTTCTCTGCCGTTGCTGTAGAGTGAGTTACCATAGGAACCCAGGTGTGTGAGCAGGCAGCAGAGTGACAAGCCACTCCACCCAGTTACTTCGCCCACTCCAGTTGTAGACTACTGGTGGAGGCAAGAACACTTCACACAATTTCCCCAGAAATTGTAGCTTTTCTAGTTATATATACAATCATTATCCATCCATGCAACTACCCTTATATCTGCACCTATAATAAATATGTAGAGATAAAAATGTACCTAGAAAATAGTTTGCTAAGTTCACATTACTTACTCTGATACTATAATTGAACATTATTCAGAATAGTTAGTAAATGTAAAGAATTTTGAAGAATTTATGTTTTTTTTAAAGAATGTGCTTTTCATCTAAATTAGAACAGAGCTGTATGTTCTCTGAATCCTGGTCAAATTCTGGTAATGGTGGCAGAACCTTTGTTCTCCGGTCAGATATTAGGATATCCTGATTGTAACAAAGGTCATAAGTCAAATGGAAATTTAGGTAAGAAATAGCAGCCTGAGTGGACTATGAATTTTAACTTTGCCACAAAGTTCTTTTTCATTGTTGTCTGGCAGGTGTCCTTATATAGTCTGACTGATTATCATTTACATTTTATCACATCCAGGCCAGATCCTCTAGTGCAAGAGGATGACAGACAGGCTGCCCTGCATGACTACTACATGCCATTCAGAAAAAAGGAAGGGAAATCTGTGTAACACAGTAAACCAACACCTTAAAAATAGATCACGCAGGCTAAAAATTATCGGTAGGATATCCAGGTTTTGGGAAATAAAACTGTGATTCAGGATTTGCTGGGGGAAAAGGTCAAAAAAAACATTTGTAAGCTAAGTAGCCATGAGCCTGCTGAATGAGTATGTGTCCTCCGTGGGATGGGAAGGATACGGGATTGCAAAGAATGTAACTAAACCTGTGACTCTTTCTTTGCCAAAAGCATTTATAGCAAATGTAAAAATGTTACCCTGTGTATTAACGTCATGGTCAAGCTAATGCAGAACTGAAGAAAGCTACTACTTAGGACCACAAAAAAGTTATGTACCAAGTTAGCTATAAATAAACGCATAGGCCAACTAAAAACATATTTAAAAAATACAAGTTCAGGACATTAGGTTTCTTCTGTGGATATACCCGAAGAAAGTACCTTGTATTCCTAAACCATTTCATCTCTGATAAGCCTGGTAAGTTTTTCTGAACTTTAAACTGTTGAAGAGGAGTGTCCTGAGATCTTTAATGAGACAAGAAAGGCAAAGTGGTTTAGTAATAACTACATACAGTAGGTGAGAACTAGATCCCTTATAATAATGTAATAAATATATTTGTATCCAGAAAACACTGCTTATAAGGATATACTTTGCAGTAGCATTGTCAGAATATGGAAATATGAAACAAGTTTATTTTGGAAAATGGAACTCTGTAAACATTTTTTTTTAATTGTGTTGATTTTTTACTGCACTTAGCATATTGCTCTGCACATTTATATGCTGAGGTTCAATTTAAATAAGGTACATTTGTAAATATCAATGTTATTTCTAAAACCAATTTGTTTTGGGAAGAAAATGACCAATGATAAATGCGCAGTTTGGCCATAATTGGTAATAACTACAAAGGTCGGAAACAGATCTGTTATAAGAATGTCATAAATATTTTTGCATGCAGAAAACACAGATTCTCAGGATATATTGTATTGTGGTATCGTCAGAAAATAGGAGTATGAATCAAGTTGATTTTGGAAACTGGAATTCTGTAAACATTCTTTTCTTTACTTTTACTGTTATTGTTTAAGCCAAATTGCTTTGGGGGAAACAATGTTAACCCACAGTTTATAAGACCTATGTTAAAGTCCCTATGGTCATGAGAGTAAGTAAATGGTAATAGGATTCTGCATAGGGAGGGGGAAATCAAATCAAATACAATTTTGCTTTTGACCTTAAAAAGGCATTATCTGGCCCTTATTAGATGAAACTTGTTACTGGAAAAATATAAAAAAAAATATGGACGATCATTGCAACTACCTTCTGAAGATGCTAGTTGGCATATAGTTGGCTAGTTAGTAGTGAAGTCAGATCTTTTGATCAGCATACCACTGGAAGTTTTTGGACAGCAAATATTCAGATTAAGACCCCTCATATATCTTAAAAGGAATATTTTCTTATTTTACTATTCTATTTTGGTTTTGAAAATAGAGTCAAAACATTTCAAATAAAACTAATATAAAATATTGCAAGAATCGTACAGAAACATGTTGCTTCTTTGCTTCTGCCATGTAGTGGCCTACAATGCCTAAAGGTGAATCTGGTCTTGCATGTAGAAAGTGCCTGCTGCAAAGTGAAAATAGAGTTGTTTATGGTTTACTATATTTCCGCAGTTTATTTTGGAAACTGGAATTCTGTAAATGATTTCTGTATTTCCACAGTGTAATATTGTAGCAAAATAATGATCCTATTGGGTGCCAAAAGGTAGACCTGTGGAGTCTACTAAAAGAAACCCTCACAAAGATTGACCCCTCAGTGATTTGAAACCATTAGTGACTGAGGGTAAAACAAATGTTAATACCTAAGCATAATTTAGCAACTTTAACATATGTTAGTAAAGCTGTACATGTCATCACAACTACTTTGTGTATTCAGGTGGATTATACCTTGTTTTTTTTTCTCGGGTAAATTTGGGCTTTCTTTTGGAAAGTAACAAAGGAAAACTGGCCAAAAATAGTAAAAAAAAAATTTTTTTTTAAATCTAGCAGTACATTTCTTGCTATTACCATAATTTACCACCAAAGAAGAACCAAAAATAAATTATCCTGCCCCTGATGATCGCATCAATACCACATATGTATAGGTTAGTTGTTTTTACCTGAAGTAGTAGGGCCCAGAAACAATGGTGCACATTTTGCTTTTTTATCCTGCCTAAAACATGCTTTTTTTTAAAAAAACAAAGTCTACCCAAAATATACTGACGTGACCTTTGAACCCAATCTTTACCTTGACCCAAACACTAACCCTGGCACTGACCTAGATCAAACCTTCATCTATTAATTTTTTCTTTATTTTTAAATTACCATATTTTTCGCTCCATAAGACGCACCTGACCATAAGACACACCTAGGTTTTAGAGAAGGAAAACAAGAAAAAAATATTCTGAACCAATGGACTGCAGACATAGTGCAGGAAATGTCCAGAGACTGCAGACATAGTACAGGAGATGACCAGAGACAGTAGACATACTACAGGAGATGACCAGAGACTGCAGACATAGTACAGTAGATGACGAGAGACTGCGGACATACTACAGGGGATCACCAGAGACTGCAGACATACTACAGGAAATGACCAGAGACTGCAAACATAGTACAGGAGATGACAAGAAACTGCAGACCTTTGGGGAGTGGGTATCCGAATTTGACAGATACCCACTCCCACTTCCGCTGCGATCGCCAAGGCGATTGGAAGCGGAAGTTGTCCTCCCTCCCTGTAGTCTTCTGGGACATGTGACAGGTCCCAGAAGACTACAGGGCCATTCACAAAGCGCAGCGCTTCTGGCGCATGCGCAGTGGGCACCTGGCTGTGAAGCTGCAAGCTGTCACACTGAAGATGTTGGCGCTGGGCAGAGAAGACGGCCGGTGAAACCAGCGGTGGTGAGGACACCGCTGGATCAAGAAAAAGGTAAGTGGCTGTATTTTAAAAGTCAGCAGCTACAGTTTTTGTAGCTGCTGACTTTTTTTTTTTCAGCTGGAACTTTGCTTTAAGGGGCAGCCGCTTTGGGCCTTGCCTAATGCTGCCACAGAAGAACCGAGCGGCCAGCCTGGTATTCTAACACTGCGGCGGTGATGGGGGGAATACCAGGCCGGCTGCTCCATAATCGCTCCCTAAGATGCACAAACATTTCCACCCCTATTTTTTGGGGGGGGAAAGTGTGTCTTATGGAGTGAAAAATATGGTAATTTTATTTTTTTACACACTTTTGTTTGTTTATATTTTCCTCTCCTACAAGAAGTGAAAGATACAATGTATCTTTCTCCTCATGCAGGAGAAGAAGTAAACACAGGGGCAAGTTCACAATGACTGATCACTGTGATAGCAAATTAGAGGCTTTCACAGTGACCAGGTGACCCAAAAACTGTGAATCTGGGGTCCCAATTGTTAGTACGAGACCCCGGGCATGCTCCCAGCACAAAGAGAGATACAGATATATGCAGCCCCATAGATAAAGACCCACTTCTGTGAGGCAGCATATATGCATACAATTGGTGGGAAGGGGTTAATGTTGTATCCTTAAATTATGCCTTAAATTGATATTAAAGGTTATTTTTTCATTATTAAATAACAAACATGTTACACTTATCTGCTCTGTGCAATGGTTTTGCATAGAGCAGCCCTGATCCTCTTCTTCTTGGGTTCCCCGCTGCAGCTCCAGGTTCCTCCCTCTTGACCAGTGCCCCCAAGCCACTTGCTATGGCAGCACTAGTGCATGCTTGCTCCTGAGTCCCACTCTATGAGTCTGTATAAGACATACAGAGCCGAAGCTCGATCCCATCCCCACTCTCTCCTCACTGACTGTGATTTATAGCAGTGGAGCCAGTGGCTCCATTGCTGTGTCTAAGCCAATGTGGAGAGAGAGACCCAGGAAAGTCAAGGCTCCTGTGGACATCACTGGATCAAGAGGGGGCTCAGGTAAGTAATGGGAGGGTCTGTGGAGGGTGCAGCACACAGAAGGCTTTTTACCTTCAGCCTTTACAACTACTTTAACAATCACATAAAGATCTATGTGAGAAACTATTGTGATCCAAGAAATATTGTCACTATGCTAAGGTTGAAAAAATTTCAACTGAACTCCAACTGCAATAAAGTGGAACATTAGTCAGAAAATTAAGTCCTGCTAGATCACTTAGATTTATTGCTGTTTAGGGCTCTGGGCTTCAGCAAAATTGTAGCCTCCAGCTAGAACAATGCCAGAGACTATTGACAGTATACGCTAATTTGGGTAGCATAATTATTCCTTTCTAAACAACATATTTTTTATAAAGTTGTTATAGGTAAATTTCTGCTTTAAGATTTTCAAAGCTTTGTAAAATATACACAGCCTGAAGGAGTTTCTGGGTCAAAGAACTAATATCTGTGAGGGAGGATCTAAAAACTTATCAACCATTAATGCATTTGCAAATTCATTTATAAGCAGCATTAAATTGATTATTACCATGATAAAGAGGGGTTAAAATTTCGAGTCCAGACCTACTAGCCGGTCACAAAACTTACTCTCCACCAGTTGCCCCACCCAACCTTGCCCAGGTCTTCCCCCAACCCCACCCCCAGTCCGCCCCAAACCCCACCCCCGCCCCAACCACATCCCCTTAAAGCCTATGAAATTAAATTTTTCTTTAGAATAAATAGTCCAAAATATAAAACTGTACACAGTAATGTATATCCCAGCTCCCCTGTACTCCATTATAGTGATATGATATGACATGGTGCCGTACCAGTGCGCATGCGCCAGATACGGTATTTATGTACGAGGAGATGGTCACGGCAGTCCTATGTTCCACCTCTGAAGAAGTGCGTGCGCACGAAACGCGTCAGATGGAGCCCAGGACGCCATTGACACTAAGCCGCCGGTGCCACGAGGAGGCCCGGCGGCCATCTTGATTTCTTAAAGGGTCAGTGTGTTTACTCATACTTGGCTATGTGATGTTCATTATGCACCTGTGTTTTCTGGAATAAAAGTTTTACCTACTACACTATGAGTGCTTCCCTATATCTCCTGTGAGGAGCTTCTTCAATCCTTGCAGCCCTAGTGATCCCTGTGTCAGCTCCTGTGGAGGCATATCCAGATTGATACTTCTCTGACCTGCTGGACCACTTTTTCACCACATGAGGGCGTAGGATTTCCATCTTTCCCAGCTATTTCTCTGACCAGACCTGAGAGGAGAGGGGAGTCTTCAGGATATATATATATACACATGCATATTACTTATACGCTTTCTGGTTAGTGTGAATTTCTACCATTTGCACTGGGAATCACGGAGCACTGTTTTCACCGGACTGTGTTTATCAATACTTTTCTCTAAGAGCGCTGCATTTTGTTTATATATGTATACAGTAATGTATATCCCAGCTCCCCTGTACTCCATTATACAGTAGTGATATGACATGTATACAGTAATCATTACTGTATACATGTCATCACTATAATGGAGTACAGGGGAGCTGGGATATACATTACTGTACTCCATTATAGTGATATGACATGATGTATACAGTACTTACTGTCCCTCCGAGTCCTCCGCGGCGGTGGAGAGGGTGTCTTCTCTCAGCGGAGGAGAGTGGATCTCTCCTGCACCTGTCCCCTCGGCGGCGGGTGCCGCAGAAGCCGGAAACCGGAAGTTGTAAACTCGGCTTCACAATGAGGCTTGGAGTGCAGGTGCAGTCGCTCCATGCTTCATTTGTGCTCACCGCTTGCAGCCGCTTGCCACAGAGGAATTTCTCCTCGCATTTGGCGAGTGGGTGAGCGGCTTTTTCAAGCCCTGCCATAGACATTAGACAAACTATTCTGTAAGAGCAAAACTCCAGGCAAAAAAGCAAATATACATTTTAAATATATGCATTTTAACTGTTTTACCTGTCTAAAGGTTCGCCATTTTATTTGGACACGCACAAGCGTGCGTGTCCAAATAAAAAATTTGGAGTGTCCAAATAAAAAAAAAAAAAATGTGCATGTCCAAATAAAAAAAAAAGGGAAAAAATTGCAAATCACAAGATTTGCAATTTTTTCCCTCATACTGCACAGCCAGGAAGACCACTTTGTTTATTCCTGGCTGCTTCCTGCTTTACCTCTCTGCATTATATAGAGATGATGACATGGACTGACTGACGGGTGAGCAGACTAGAGGCAGAAATGTGCTACAGCAGGCTTTAGGCTGCTTTCACACTTTTGCGTAAAAAAAAAATATGAAGAAAAAAAACTGAAGAAAAATGATTCCCTATATATATCTACAGTATGTATGTCTATGTGTCTTCACACTGGTCCGTTGCGCTTCTGCTGCAGTGTAAAATATCCTGCTTGCAGCATTTTTGGGGCATATTTGGTCACTTAAAAAAAACACACCAAAAATGCACTACCCCCCATTAAAATACATTGAAGACGCGCCAGAAACGCATATGTGTTGTGTTTTTGAGTCACATGTATGAAAAACACACTGCAATTGTGGTAAAATCATGGCACAAATGCATTTGCATTTTTACTGCATTTTTGCTACGGATCAGTGTGAAAGTGCTCTTACTTCTGAAACAGTAAATAGTTACATCATCTACATGGCCGAACAGTGTCGCAGATGTGTGAACAAATCATTTGGCAGATAAAACAGTCAACATGTACAGGTGAAACTCGAAAAATTTGAATATCGTGCAAAAATTCATTTATTTCAGTAATGCAACGTAAAAGGTGAAACTAATATATGAGATAGACTCATTACATGCAAAGCAAGATAGTTCAAGCCGTGATTTGTCATAATTGTGATGATTATGGCTTACAGCTCATGAAAACCCCAAATCCACAATCTCAGAAAATTAGAATATCACATGCAATCAATAAAACAAGGATTGTACATAGAACAATATTGGACCTCTGAAAAGTATAAGCATGCATATGTACTCAGTACTTGGTTTGGGCTCCTTTTGCAGCGATTACTGCCTCAATGCGGCGTGGCATGGAAGCTATCAGCCTGTGGCACTGCTGAGGTGTTATGGAAGACCAGGATGCTTCAATAGCGGCCTTCAGCTCTTCTGCATTGTTCGGTCTCATGTCTCTCATCTTTCTCTTGGCAATGCCCCATAGATTCTCTATGGGGTTCAGGTCAGGCGAGTTTGCTGGCCAATCAAGCACAGCAATCCCACGGTCATTGAACCAGGTTTTGGTGCTTTTGGCAGTGTGGGCAGGTGCCAAGTCCTGCTGGAAAATGAAGTCAGCATCTCCATAAAGCTCGTCTGCAGAAGGAAGCATGAAGTGCTCCAAAATCTCCTGGTAGACGGCTGCGTTGACCCTGGACTTAATGAAGCACAGTGGACCAACACCAGAAGATGACATGGCTCCCCAAATCAACACAGACTGTGGAAACTTCACACTGGACTTCAAGCATCTTGCAGTGTGTGCCTCTCCATTCTTCCTCCATACTCTGGGTCCTTGGTTTCCAAATGAGATGCAAAAGTTGCTCTCATCAGAAAAGAGGACTTTGGACCACTGAGCAACAGACCAGGTCTGTTTTTCTTTAGCCCAGGTAAGACGCTTCTGATGTTGTTTGTTGTTCAGGAGTGGCTTGACAAGAGGAATACGACATTTGAAGCCCATGTCCAGGATCTGTCTGTGTGTGGTGGCTCTTGATGCACTGACTCCAGCCTCAGTCCACTCCTTGTCATCCCTGCTGCTTGTGCACCTTTTTCTTCCACACTTTCCACATAACTTTCTATCAATGTGCTTTGATACAGCACTTTGGGAACATCCAACTTGTTTTGCAATGACCTTTTGAGGCTTTCCCTCCTTATGGAGGGTGTCAATGATGGTTTTCTGCACAACTGTCAGGTCAGCAGTCTTTCCCATGATTGTGATTTCTATTGAACCAGACTGAGAGACCATT